TACCAATATTAATATAAATTCTGTCCAGTTTTATTGTGTTACTTAGAGTAAAAGTGTGGTTATTTTATTGGCTTGTGTTTTTTTAAATTAAATCATAAAAATTGAGTTAAATTTTAAAAGTCTTACAAAATGACTTTATATTATTTAATAAAATAATAAATAGTCATTACAAAGCAGTTTCGGTTTTCGTGCATCCAGAATTTTTATTAATATAAATTCTGTCCAGTTTTATTGTGTTACTTAGAGTAAAAGTGTGGTTATTTTATTGGCTTGTGTTTTTTTTAATTCAGTATCATTAAAATTTTGTTAAATTTAAAAGTCTTACAAAATTACTTAATATTATTTAATAAAATAATAATAAATCATTAAAAAGCAGTTTCAGTTTTCGGTTATGTGCATCCAGAATTTTCGGTTTCTGTTTCGGCCCAGAATTTTCATTTCGGTGCATCCCTAGATGTCATACATATAGCACCTCAGTACCATGGTAACTATATGGTTTCTAAATATTTGTATGAAAAACAGTAGTCTAAATACATTTAGTATAAATGCACAAACACTGTAGGTTATTCACAGAAAATAGTGTAATTATATTCTATTACTCATTTAATACATGTTAACATTAATAATATAATAAAATTTGATATGAGTATCCCACATTTCTGCCACAACCCATAGTGCAGTTAGTGTTACTACAGTAAATCTATGGTAAATGATGGCGATTTGTAGATTTAAAAACCCTTCTGACTGTGTCGTTGTGCACAGTGTCTCTCCTGTTTGTCAGTGCTGTTTAATGCATAAACATTATATCGAACATTTATTGAACTTGTTTTCATTTTGAGGAAAATTAAATCACAATCATTTTCGTTTAATTGCATAGCTCTACTTTCAGTGCACTACATGTTAACTACATGGGTTTAATGTTAGACTCAGGGGTAGTACCTATTACCTAGTTATTGCAATTACTATAGTAAGTACATAGTATGTGCTAATGCTAATAGTATAAAAGATAGCAATAATTCTTCATGGATTCTCAAAATGTTCTTATTTTTGTTGTGTCCCGTTTCATTCATTAAGGCTGACACACTGAAGGAGCGCTATCAGAAAATTGGAGATACCAAAAGGGCAACCCCTATAGAAGTGCTCTGTGAGAGTTTCCCTGGTAAGCCGATTCCTTTTCAAATGGCCACAAATCTTGTGTTCTCATCTCCAGTGCATTGCCTTAACTTTGACATCCTTTCATAGAAGAAATGGCCACCTACCTGCGCTATGTGCGGAGACTGGATTTCTTTGAAAAACCGGATTACGACTACTTGAGAAAACTCTTTACAGACCTCTTTGACAGAAATGGCTATGTCTTTGACTATGAATATGACTGGGTTGGCAAGCCGCTGGTGAGTCTAATTGGATGTCATATCAAAAACCACTTGTATATGATATAACCAAGTACATGGATGTTGAGTTTCCTTTGTGTCTACACAGCCGACTCCAATAGGACCCATGCCTAGTGACACACCTCTGCAGCCCAGCAGCAGAGACAAAGCACAAGCACAGACCAAAAACCAGGTGGGATAAGAGTCACTATACTCTAATGCTTTTGTAAATTACACAATTTCATAGTATATGGTCAAGTGTTAAGTTGCAGATCAATTGCTTTGAGTGCCACTTCAAAATAAAATGAAGGAATTATTTATTTATTTAATAATTAATAATAATTTATTATAATTTTTTAATTAATGAAACAAGAGTGTTCAAACTGATTAATATCCATATTTAAAACTGTTAAATTAACCATGATTTATATTTTGTAATGAATAATTTTTATTTTCTAATTTAATCATGTGTGAACTGCACATTGACATTTTTTTAACTCCGTTACTTCAGTCATTTAAAAAGTATTTATTAATGTATTAAGTTCACATTTTAACATTAACTAATTGAAATGTATTTATTTGTTAATTTGACAAAATAATTTTAGTTTACATTTTATTGATTTCTTTATTTTAAATGATGATATTTATTATATTTGACATTTCACTTTCAGTTTTACAGTCAAATCCTTGTTAATGTAAAAGAGGAAGAATGGGCCACAGTTATTACTTTTAAGTACCAGCTTCCCTTTTTTATTATTTTTATTTTTTTCTTTGGTTATTTCTGGAGAAGCATTGCTTCATGCAGTGTAATTTTTTTAATAATGTTATCTCAATGTTTTATGATACTCTTTTAAACCATGCCAAAAGTTTTTTTTGTTTCACTCATCAACAATCCCAAGACAACTTCCTGCAGCCAGAGTAGTTTTTGCTAGTCTGAAGATCTGTTATTTCCTCAAAAGCTGTCATTCTTTTAGACGGTGGTATTTCCATGTTTTGGCCACAGTCCCTTACTTGGATAAATGAAGTCCGCTACATTCTAAGTTTGATATGATCGGCTAGAGCTGTTAGTGAAAGATAAGAGCTTAGCTTCCCTCTCCATTTCTGCATGTCGCGTGCTCTCTTGTTTTTTCACTCACATTTTTATTTCCACCTCTATCCTGTTAGCTAGAGTAGTCTGCTTGTGCATGGAAGGCATTCCTCTTTAAACTCGTTCTGTTCTTTTTTTCTTTACACCCTCACCTCTTTTCAAAAACATCTCTTATGCCCTTTGCCACCCCCCACCCCCTTCCCCTCATCGCTATCATGCCAGTCTCCAGAACCTAAAGGAAGTGAGTCCCAGCCCACTCCCGTGACCAACAGGGAGCTCCTGGGGTCGCACCTCACGGCCGATAGGCTGGGGGGCTCTGTCCAGGTACTGGGTGTTTGCGCAGTACTGCATGCCCTTGGTGTCGATTTCTTCCTTTCTCTGTTCTTGTCTTTCTGGTCCTTTCATCCTCTCACTCAAGACACCTCTATCCATTTTCCAGCTGTGAACACTTAAATGGTCGTTTTGTCTAATCACATCACACATCACTTGCACGCTTTTGATGGTTAGGCTTGGGATCTGGTCATTTTAGTGTGAAAATACTGCTTGTATTGTATTTAAGTAGCTAAAGACAAATGGATGTTTGTTTGTGAACTTCTAGTTATGCAGGGTGAACATTTTTCATTTGAAATATGTTAGTCCCAAGATTTCTAACTAAACTCATTTTCTGTGTTGGTGTATTTCCATATCTAAGTAAGCACTGTTCTTTCATTTTACATTTCCCTACATTCTTCTTAACCTTCCCTGGTTGGTGCTAAGCAACCTGATTTTTGAACAGTTTAATTATTTAAAAAAAGTGTCCTTAATAGGTTACTAAGCCCCAACCCGTGTTACATGAACTGTAAATATGAAGTGCGAGTTAGATGAAATAAATTCCAGTGTGTACCGTGGTTTTGTGTTGTTGTTCATCTTTGCTGATCTGTATTAAAAACTCATTGCCTGCTGCCTTAAATTAATGTTCAGGTTATGAGCTCAACCAACGGAGAAGTGAATACAGATGATCCCACGGCGGGACACTCCAACGCTCCCATAACTGCTCCTGCTGAGGTAGAGGTGGCTGATGATACAAAGTAAGTAATTCTTTAAAAAACATAAATGCCCAAATTTCCCCTACAAATGTTTTCTTTTTAATTATTTGCATGGTATTCCATACTGTGCAGTTTTCTTTGCCTAATTTTAGTGTATTCAATAAAAAAAAACAACTGCAAAGATTTGCCCACAAGCCACTAAGGGTGCCGTGTACAGTCAAAGAAAAATATAGGTTTTGGTTTCATTGCTAGGAATCAATTATCAGTTTATTAATTCTTATATTAAATCAGTGTTTTTATTGTTAACTGCAACTATTTTTTGTAATTGAAATACAAATATAAGATTTAAAAAAACTTTTAAAAGGTTTTAAATAATTAATTAAAATGTTTCCTTTGCAACTAACTGAATTACAATAAGCTTAAGTAGTAAAATTACTAAAAATGAAATAAATTGATGCTATATATAAATAATAAAAAAACGATAACACTACAATAAGGTACATTAGTTAACTACAGTAGTTAACATTAACTAATAATGAACAATACTTCTACAGTGTTTATTAATCTTAGTTAATGTTAATTTCAGCATTTACTAATGCATTATTAAAATCACAAGTTTGTATGTTTGTTAACATTAGTCAATGCACTGTGAACTAACAACAATGAACGACTGTATTTTCATTAGCTAACATTAACAAAGATTAAAGGGATAGTTCACCCCAAAATGAAAATTTGATGTTTATCTGCTTACCCCCAGGACATCCAAGATGTAGGTGACTTTGTTTCTTCAGTAGAACAGAAATTATGATTTTTAAGTTCAGTCGTTACAGTCTATCAGTCGTATAATGCATAGCAATGGTAACAAAATCTATGAGAGTAAAAAAAACATGCACAGACAAATCCAAATTAAACCCTGCAGCTCGTGACAACACATTGATGTCCTAAGACACGAAACGATCGGTTTGTGCGAGAAATCGAACAGTATTTATATAATTTTTTACCTCTAATACACCACTATGTCCAACTTCCTTGAGCTGGCGCAGGCATCCGGTGCGTGAGGTGTGTACGCACTCTGGTGTAGTTTACGCAAGCGCCGGAAGTGAGCTCTCGCACGTATACCTCACTCATTGTTTACACCAGGGGTTTTCAACCTGTGGGGCGTGGGCGCCAGCACCTGTCAAGGGGGGCGCAAGCATCAGTTAATTCAGAGACGTTCCCGTGAGAATTTATGAATATGAGTTAACAAATCTTTAGCCATCCACTAGTGGGCAATCTGACTCCCACTGCTAGTCGACATTTAGAGCAGAGTTGAATCGAGTATCAGTCACGCTCAGTGTTGCCAAGTCCGCGGTTTTCCCGCATACCGCGTTTTGTAGTTTTGGGCTAGTTTTGAGTAGCAAGTAGGTCGGTTTTTGTTGTGAAAACCTGGCAACCGTGGTCACGTTTATTGACAGTGTAAGATGATTTACGATTAGCCGTGTCGGATATCTAACCACGGATTGGCATGTTGTTATCTCAGAAACAGGCTCAGCCATCACATTGAACCAGGTAAACTGGTTATATATTTATGTTTCAGTATAATTACGCACGCTATACCAGGGGCGGTTCTAATCCCTTTTTAGGTGGGTTTCAGCCCCCCTATCTGTCACCTTAGTCCCCCCAAACTATCTTAACGATCAGGCCAGTGCTGCTCCCTCGAGAAAGTTTTTCATTCTCACGTGTTTTAAATCTTGTCAGTTTAAACATTAAAGTAATTTTAAGCCATTTAAGCCCAAGACATCTCAGTGCGGTACTCACGCGCTGTGATAAAGCGTTTCTGTTAGAGGTCTACCCGACCCGAGCCCGACGGGTCCCGAAATACTTTATAAAATACTAATACGAAATACTAATGTTTAATGAATAGCTTCGGGTTCGGGTCGGGCTCGGGTTTATAGCTCAACTAAAACTATATGCAGTAGGCTACGCTGCTTTCATAGACGCACGCACACACATTAGTCCACACGACAACGCAGCACGGAAACTTTTATTAGTAAAATAGTTTCGACTGGCTACTGACTCGCAAAGTTATATTTCTCTGCAAAGAGGGGGTAAAATCACTGTTTTTGAAGTAACTAAGCCTCATTGCTTGTAAGAAAAAGACGCGCAGACGCAGGTTCACACACGCAACTTTCATCCCTCTCTCTCTCTCTCTCTTTCTCTCGCTAATTCAAATAAATTATATAAATAATTAATTCAAATAAATGCGATCTTACCGCACTGCATCTCTGTGTCTGATCTAAAGCAGGCCGAATGCTAACGAGCCTTAACTGATGAAAATTAGCATAATTTGCACGATGGAAGAATTATCGTCTTGTCGTATACAAC